AAAAAAATAAATAAATAAATGCGCCTATAGACCTGTATAACTCATTATTGCCAAACTTGTGGAAAGAGTGCTGGGCTAAGCTGTCCAATGCTGCTGAAGGGAGTCCATTCCTGGGACGCTCCCACCAGCCTTCTATTTTCCTTTGTAAGAAGTTTTATTAGAAAGTGCCCAAGCCAGGTCTGGGGATTTAGCTCAGCGACACAGCGCCGGCCTGGCAAGTGCAAGGTTGTGAGTTCGATTCCCGGTACCGGAAGAAAACCAAACCAAACTAAAACAAAACAAAAGAAGTGCCCCAGCCGGGTGGGCATGGTGGCGTGCAACTGTGATCCATTCAATTGGGAGGCTAAAGCATAGTTTGAGGCCACCTGGGCTACATAGTGAGATCCTGCCTCAAAAAAGTACAGGGCCAGGAATATAGCTCAGCGGCATAATGCAAGGCCCTGAGTTCGATTTCCAGTACCAAAAAAAAAAAAAAGTCCAGGGAATTTGTAAAAAGGAAAAAAAATCAGGACATTAAACATGATCATATTGTCCATGCTCCAGAGACAACCCTTCCCACCTCAAAACGGACACTGTGAAATAAATGCTGCACTGTAGAAAGGTCAAAAGGACGCGGCCTGGGTGAGCCTAGCTCAGAATAATTAGGCCTCATGTTCTTTTTATTGGGAGACTCCACGTAGTATAAAATGCAACCTTAAAGTACATAATCCATTTTTTTTAGTATATTCACCAAGGTGTGCAACCATCACCATTATCTAATTGTAGCCCATTTTCTTTTCTTTTTTTTTTTTTTGGTTTTTTGTTTTTTTCCGGTAACGGGAATCGAACTCACGACCTTGTGCTTGCTGGGCAGACGCTGTGCCGCTGAGCTAAATCCCCAGCGCCCTGTAGCCCATTTTCACTCAAAAAACTCCAATAGGAATTAGCGGTCACTCCCCATTCTGTCTCCCCATCCCCGTCCCTGGCAAGCACAACAAAGTCTGTCTGCGATTTGTCTATTATGTTTTTTCTTTTTGAGACGGTCTCTAGGCTGGCCTTGAACTCACTATGTTGCCCAGGCTACAGGATAATCCTCCCGCCTCAGCCTCCCCAGTGCTAGGATGCCATACCTATGCCAGCACACCCGGATTTTTCGTTGTTGGTGGATTTTCCTGTTACGGACATTTCACATGAATGCACTCATACACCATGTCATCTCCGGTGACTGGCTTTTTTCACTGAGTAAAACATTGTCCAAGTTTCTGTTGCAGCGTGTACCACTACTTACGTTTTTCTTTTCTTTGTGGTACTGAGACTTGAACCCGACGCGCATTAACATTGATTTACAACCCCAACCCGGTGGGTTTCTCGTTTGTTTCATTTTTGAGACGAATCTCCAAGGTCGGCCTGAACCATCTGGTTGCTTGCGGGTTTTTTGTTTGTTTGTTTGTTTTGTTTTGTTTTTTTTCGGTACTGGGAATCGAACTCACGACCTTACGCTTGACAGGCAGAGTTGCTTGCATATTAAGACTAAGGCTGCTTCCAGCATTCGTGTTCGGGTTTTGGCGGTGGGCATGTTTCGTTTCTCTGGTATACCTCAGAAAAAACGGAAACTTTCTTTAGCCTTTTGAGGAACTGCCAAACTGTCTTCCACAACATCTGCCTCATCTCACATTCCCCCGAGCAGGCTGCCAGTGAGTGTCCTAGTTTCTCCGCATCCTTGTTAGCAGGCACTCGATTTGCTGCACTCATATTGAATGCAGCCACAACGACCTCATTTTGCGCATGCGCGCTGGGGGTAGGCGTGTCGTCAGAGGCGGGGCTTTGCCATTGCTAGGGGCGGGGCTACACTGCGCGCGCGCCCCGGAAACGGAAGCTGATGCTCCTTCCGGGCGGCGGATTTGGGAGATTACATTGTCGCCAGTAGCGCCTCTGAGGAGGTGTGGTCGCGGTGGTCATGCCGTCTGAGGGTCGTTGCTGGGAGACCCTGCAGGCGCTGCGCAGTTCCAGCAAAGGTCGCCTCTGCTACCACCGGGACTGGTTGCAGCGGGGGGAGGTGAGTGGTGGCGCCGGGCGAGGGGACCTGCGCTTCCCCCGCCCGCGCTCGCTCTGCGCCGGGGACCGTGCGTTCCGAGAGCCGCGTTTATTTCTTGACTTCTGTGTGTGCGAGTCTCTGTCCTTGCGCTTCTGCCCTTTCCAGAGTGTCCGAGGGACTTACCATCCCACCGGAGTTAGGTGCCCCTCCTTCTGTTGTCAGGGCAACCCTGGGCTTTCAGGGTTTGCTTTTTTCGTGTTTGTTGTTTTTTTTTTTTTTTTTTTTTTTTTTTTT